ATTCCAGCACACTGCACGCAGGCCTTTGTGTTCCACACACGCAGGCTCCATCCTCTCTACCTCTTCTCCCCTCTGAGAACCAGCACAGGCCACAGTCATGTTAACAGCCCTTGTATCAACCTGGCCAGTCCAACAAGTGAATTACAAACTCAAGGAAAGCTTCATGAGTGAGCAAACGCACCCTGCTTCTATGTCTGGGCTCAGGATACCATCACATGCACAGATGTTTGATACTGTAGTGATGATGTCATTGTGCTCTTCATATGGGACTTTCCTTCTCATTAAGACTAGGAAAATCCCACCATGAATGGTGATGTACATCTTTAATCCCAGTGGGAGGCAGAGGCAGGTAGATCTCTTTGAGTTCAAGGTCAGCCCAAAATGGTTGTTCCTGAGAAATGGTCTACATGGTGAGTTCCAGGACAACCAGGGCTGTGTAGAGAAAGCCTGTCTCAAAAAAATTAGAAAATTATAAAAAGACTAGGAAAATCTCAAAGTCCTTTGTTCTTTAATAAGAAAAGAAAATTCAACCAACAGTTTAGACTGGGCTTTTCTGGCAGCTAGTGGAGGCTAGTGGAGACCAGAACGGTTGGGTGAGCTAACTCCAGAGAATTGTTACAGACAGAAAAACAGAATGCCATTTGGAAACTGACCTTGCACCATCATCTTGCCTGTATGCAGTCAATTCCTATATTCAGAATAGCAGAGAACTCTAAAGTCAGATAGACACAAGGGGTGCCAAGCAGGGTGCCCCTAATCCTCTCCTTGGCAGTTACTAGGCCCTTTATACACAGGTCACGGTTTCATCTCCCTAGAATATTCCATGGAATATTGAGCTGGCATGCAATCTCTCAGTGAGAGCAGATAGTGACGGACCAGTCGAGTTCCTGGTGGCATTTTCACTGAGGAGGCTTGCTTCCCGTTAGGAATGTGTTCCCCTGATATCAGTAAGTGGCACCACTCCATGGGGCCCCTGAGAAATGGAAAAAAAATGTCCGGCCAAGAGGATGTTTCCTATTTAAAACTTGGCTTCGTGGACAGGTAATTATGTCTTAGGGTAATTTTTAAGAATAAGAAAGGACAACGATTTCCACATATAAAATTATACCATTTAACTTTATAGCCATATACTTCCTTAAGCAGTTAAATTTTGGATAAAGGACCTGATTGTCTATTTTCTATATGTGTGATTTCGTATTCTAGGTTTCATTTTGATAATCAGGAGAAATTATCACGAGGGCTGTTTTGTCTCCCTCCAGAGCCTCAGGTTTGGTGAAGGCAGGGAGAGCTATCCTCCCAAGCAGAGCTTGTGGCAAACAGATCCCAGAGGCCGCTGGACAATAGGAAAGTCCCCTGGTGTTTTGCCTAGGTGCATGGGCCTTGCATGGCCTGCATGGGTTGTGTCACTGTTGTGCTCCAACTCACGCTGCAAGCCTGTCAACGGGAGGTGACACATTTCCCACATCAAGTAAGAGCTGCCGTTTACAGTTGAGGGCTTAGTCGTATCAGAAGGAAGCAAAACTATTTTCAAAATATTATTATAACAGTTCAAATACCCCCCAATGTGAGAAAATGAGGTTTTACTTGTATATAAAATATATGACTACATCTTATGGAATTTATTCAGAAAAAAAAAACAGAGTAATGGGAAAATGTTGTTTAACTAAGAGAAGGTGAAAAGAAGGCAGCTGTGACATAAAGCCTTGACCATCTTCCTGCTTCCCAGGGACAACAGGACCCCTCCTTGATTGCTCCCCCTCAATCCGCGTCTTCATCTTCCACCTCAGACCAAGGGAACAGTCTTTGGATAAGTCGTTTTCTCTAGGCAGTGCTTGTCACCCAGCTGGATTCAATCTGACTCCTACGTCCATTTCAAATTCACAAAGGAGGTTCAGCAAGTAAAAGTTCTTGCTTTCTAAATCTGATGACTTGAGAGCCATGCCCAGGACCAAGGAAAAAGTGGAAGGAGAAAATGGAGTTCTGAAAAATGTTGCTTTCTGATGCCTACACATACAAAGAAAGAAAGAGGGGGGGGAGAGAAAGGGTTTTAAATAATAATAATAATTAGAACAAAAACATCCAGTATTGACCAAATGCTTTGGGATTGAGCAGTATATTATAGTTTATGTACATTCTTCCACAAAACCCTTACACTAACCAAACAGAACAGAGCATGGCCTGTCTTATCAGTAACTACAAACGCTTGTGGCTGTTAAGTAACTTAGCCCCTCATGTAATACTTCCTTATGATCAGGGAGATTTTCAGATCTTGCTGGGTCTACCAAAAGCCCACTCTGCATGCACTTTGGCCTCTGCAAATAGAACAGAGCACACAAGCATCTTCAAGACATCCTAAATCCAGTCATTCTAAAATAGCAAGCATCTACAGCCATCTTCTGATATGACTATATGCACACATATGCTTATGCACAAAGGCTGTAGGAACCACCAGGTCTCTAACAAACACCCCTTTTTGTTTTAGGTGCAGCTCTCCACAGCTGTGAACACTGATGAACTGGTTTGTCTCTGTCTGGCTCCAGTACCTGATAAGGTAACTAACTTCCTGGGTACAAGCCATGAGCTTCCACAATGGCCCTGGGGAGGTGTCGTCTAAAGAGCTAGCGCCCAGCAGACAGGTTCAGAGTTTCCCATCTCACATCAGTAATGAATAACAAATTACCCCAGGCCTTGAAATCACTCTTAGACCCATTACTGATGACCCTTGCTGTCCCTGGGCTGAGTTCCAGCTGGTGTTCAGTCCTAGGCCAGCAGTGACATCAGAGGTCTGGCACTGAGCTTTGCAGAAGGGCATGGGAGAGCTAAGCTATGTGCCACTTAGGGAAGTTCCACATGGGAAGTGGTGACCAAGAGTACCAACTACCTCTCGGCAACCTGTATCCAGGGGGAGGAAACACTGATCCATCCAACAGGCCACCTGGAGAGGTTTCTCCAGCTGGGCTTGGGCTGTCTGAGCTGCCTGGTGCGCACCCACCAAGCTTCCAAGAGAAACTCAACATGAAGAAGCTGATGTTGTCTCCTGCCCCTGGCTTCTAGCCTGTGTGCTCAGTGGAGGGAGTGGAGGGGTAGTTTTAGAGAAAGGCACTGGTCATCAAAGAATTTCCCCTCTTGCTTCTCAATAGCAGCCTTTGAAATATAGGTTGTAAACCAAGACCTTCCCCTGTATAAGAATGTGTCAGCAATTACCCAGGCCTCTGACTATGGGGTTCAGTCCAGCTAACAGAGAGCTGCGTTCTCTGATCCCCTACCCAGACTAGAGGACCTGCCACTAGGGCAAGGGAAAAAAGTGAAAGAAAAGAGAACTTAATTTAAAAAATATGTAAGGTGATACACGTCTATAATATTAGCACTTGGTAGGCTGAGGCAGGAGGATGACAAGTTCTAAGCTAGCCTGAGTTGTGTCCTGTCTCCAGAAACCTAAAAGAAACTCCTTCAGAGTTTTTGTGAGTCAAGATGAATGAAAGAAGCTAACAATAAATAATCCACTATTTCACACAGCAAAATAAGTTGTGTGTGTGTGTGTGTGTGTGTGTGCGTGTGTAATAAGCCAGGGTATTTGGTCAAGCACAGACCTGAAGTTACTTACCACTACCTAACTTCCCAAATGGATCAATTGTTGATCTTGTTGATTTGCGTACTTGTTAACAAAACCAGACACATATGGTCGATCATCAGATGATGCTGGGTTTAAACAGGAATTCAGGAATAAATAAAGCTAAAGGACAGAACCTGTGGGATGGGGGGCTGGCGGGCTCAGATGCACCTTCAAAGCCCTGCTCTTCTGTGCTAGCCATGCTACTTTCCTTATTGATGTAACACCATTCCTGTTTTCCTTTCCAGGAAGAACGGTGCCAATCGCCAGAGGCAGACATGTTTATCAAGCTGAGTATCTTGAAGTCTGACATAAAATCTGTGGCCTTTGGTATAACTGAAAAACACTCTGTCAACACCGCAGAGAGAGCACGCCCGAGGCGCTGGCCTCTGCCCAAGGAGTGCAGAGGAATGGACAAAAAATTGACTCCGGTCCAAAAATTACAAAATGAGGGAAAGTCAAACTCGAGGCGAACAAACCTTTTCCATCAAGTCTGGTTAACGTCTTGGGGAAGCGTCCAGCCCACAAGTCGGTCAGTGCTTAGGTGAAAATACAAGTTTTTCTCCCCTTTGGAAAGTCATGTTGCTCCTGCTCTTATGAATACATCAATTATGTTAAAACTGAGAGTGTCTGTCAGTGCAATGTGAGACGGTCCACTGTGTTACAGACTGCCCTCTTCAGAAACAAAACATCCTTCAAACGCCCCATCCTCCATCGCTCCAGCCAAATAGTTGGAGAGCTGAAAAAGGGCAAACTCTGGGGGCCGGGAGGAGGGGCTGGCTTGAGATGTACTTGTATTCATAGTGACTAGCTAGCATAATGCCCTCCCCTTAAAGGCCTTCTGTAAGAGAAGCAATCACCCCCCCCAAAAAAAAAGTTGTCAAAGATCCCCCCAAAGCCAAGAACTGGATGTTTGAAAAGACAAGCCTGATTTTAAAAGGGGCTGAAATACTCTGTCCTCAGCTCTTCCTTCAATTCTGGCTTCTGGGGTCCCAGGAAAGATGTCTAAAATAGTCAGACCCCACAGTGCACTGGGATCCAAACTAGAAAGCCAAAGACAGTCCACAGACCTTACCATGAAGCCTGTAACCGCAGGTCAACCTGGGCATCCTCCCATGGGCTCCGTTGTTTTACCGAACCCTCAGCCTTGGCCTTGTCATTTTCACTCATGACGTGTTTTCTGCAGAGTCCCCGCCCCCTGCCTCTCCCTGTAGCGTCTGTCCCCAAGCCCTGCCACCCTTGGTTGCTTACATTGGTCAACCAGCCTGAACTGGGAGCGTCAGGATCCTTCCTGCTATGCACATTGCCAACATTCCATAAGATTTATGTCACAGGAGCCTGTGAAGATGACAGATGTGGGAAAGAGGGGCCAAGGAGAGAAGTAAAAATAACCCAGCTCTGGCTTAACCAAGGGGGGCCCGGTCCCCCAACCTAGAGAGTGACGTGATAGTTTCAGGGCCATGGACTTTGCAAGAGAAAAATAAATAAATAAAGCATGGCAGGTTCTTCCAATAGTCTCATTTTCAATTCAAAATCCCTTTAGAAAAGTTGACGTTTTATTAATGGGTCACACTTCCAAAGTGCCCTAGCAGTAAACATACATTTGGCTTGATTGGGTTGGGGGATTTGTGAGGGAAGGTGGGGTGAGCCTCTGAAGACTGAGGCTGGATACAGAAAAGGGTCTGGGTGACCACAGCCATGGTTCATATGGGCCAGGCTGGAGGGCAACTCGCCACAGCTCCTACCCACCAAAAATCACCAACCTCAGGAACCTCTGGCTCCCCCACAGGGTGGTGTGCCATGCCGACACTGAAAACTATTCTCACGAAGAAGTGCTGGGACACTTCAGGTTATTATTCAATGAGTAGAGGCAAGTTAGACACAAAGGTATCCAGTCGGTTGAAGCCAACATTTTGGGAATTACCTATAGTTGTGGGATTAGAGATGAGTTTTTTTATTTTCTTTGCTCAGTGATCTTCTCTCTCTCTCTCTGTCTCTGTCTGTCTGTCTGTCTGTCTCTCTCTCTCTCTCTCTCTCTCTCTCGTGTGTGTGTGTGTGTGTGTGTGTGTGCGCGCGCGCTAGTTAGCGGACACCCTCTGATGCTGTCCTGCAGTAACCAGCCTGCTTCACCTCTCCTAATAGGGTAGAGCAGAAACACTCTCTGTGGATGCTATTATTATTTCATCTAGATTTTAGGGCAAATCTAAGGATCTAAAATCAGGTCAGCGAGCCCTCTCCAGGGACCCAGTTTTCTATACTCTGGCTTGTCTTTTAATAACATAAATAAACACTTCAAAACAGAAAAAAAAAATCTCCAAGTCAACATTACTCACATAGTTCAAACACCAGGCTCCCCTTCACCCAAGGCATAAGGTCAAGGACTCCTTTCCGGTTAAAATGGCCAGGAGTGAGGGTGTTTGCCTATAATCCTAGCACTGGGAAGGCTGGGGGATAAATGTTCTAGGCCAGTTTGAGCTGTAAAGTGAAATCAAAGAGAAAAAAGTCACACAGACACAAAAAACATATAGAGTGTGCCGTGTTTTCTCCCAGTCTGTCCCCTGGCTCTTGAGTTTTCTGTGGACCCCAGTGTGAATGTGCAAGAAGTTTGTTTTGAATTTTTTGTGCCCCTCACCTACCAACCTGACACTGTCCAGAACTCGGCCATCCAGGACTTACAGCACTCTCTGCTGGAACTACCAAGGACTTGGAATATGGTTGTGAGATGTCCTTCGATTGTAAAATACACATCAGATGTTGGCAGTGCCAAAAGAAAAAAAGATTGTAAAAGTCTCATTGATAAATTTGTGTCAGTTGTGAATAAAAATTGTATCAATAGATATTGCATTTAATAAAAATTATCCAAGTGCTCTCAACTGTTTCTTTTTGCTTTATAAAATGTGGACTCTAGGAAATCGGATATTACCTACATAGCAGATACTATATTCGTATCAGAACAAAATTTTCTAGGACAGGAAATATCAGGCTTAGAATTCAAGAATCCATTTTCCACCTTTTAGATAAAAGTAGGATCCACATATACAAATGCTTGGCCAAAACCTGTCTATGGTCTCTAATAAAATGCACCGTGTTGCGCCAGTTTCAAACCATAGCAGTCTGTCAGTGGGTAGATAATTTCCACTCTCTCTAATAACGGGATGAATCCCGGATCTTTCAAGGATGACACAGCATCTAAAAGTCACCAAGTCCATCCCCAGCCAGCCAGACTGGAGTCCTCCGACTCAAGGTCACCCTGCCCATCTCCAGTCGGACTGGAGTCCTCAGACTTGAATGCAGTCCCCTCTGTCCTCCTGCATTCACCCTCAAGTCTTTGTAACCCCCTTTATTCAAAAGATGCAGTCCCCACCGGGACTTTCTCTGTGTAGCGCCAGGCCATTCCTCAAAGTGCCCCAGGTGGGACGTACTGACCACTATTGCTCTTTGAAAAGGCAAGAAGATATTAAGGTTAAGGAGGGGCCATCTGGACGAAACACGTGACGCAGATGCTCCAGAGAGCCACTCAGACCCACGTGATGTTTTTCAGAGATGAGGCTTGCCCAGGAGATGTTAAAGGGTGAGTTTGGCTCTGACTCGAGCCTACTCTAACTTCAGTGACCAGGCCACTCAACAGCCAGCCTGTGGACAAAGTTCCCCTTCCTCCTGAGCAGAGCTGAGCGCTTGCCCTGCAGCAGCAACCAGAATAAATAAAATCTTTATAATCGACGTGTGGGCGGGGCTTGTCTAGGACGTATTTCTGCGGTACAGGGGAGGGTGGGGCGAGTTTTTAAAAGATCCGGGGAAGCGCCAGCTCTGCAGACACTCTGTTAAGGCTCACGAGGCCAAGCAGAAATTTTAATTCCCAATTATTCCCTCAAAGTCAAGTCACACAGGCCTACTTCAGCAGTTTGCAGATTTCAGCCATCTTCCACATGGTTCCTTCTGATCCATTTCATCCGAGTCAATCAAAATATAATTTAAAAAGTATATAAATTATATGTCATATGTATTAGTTATAAAAATAAAAGTCTTTCATGACAGAAAAGTGACTTAATTCATAGTGTTTCTTCAGGTATGAGAATCCCAAGTCCTGACTGTCTATCATCCCCTTGAGCTGGTTTCATTTTTCTCTCTGAATTTTGTAAACATGACTTACAGATTAAAACCCTGAAGGAAATGTTTTTGCGTAGCACATTTTTTAAAAGTAAAGATTTTGCTTTTTGGAGTCTGTCTATTTCGAATAGAATCTAGAAATCAAAACCTACCCTTACTATTTTAAAATGCACTCACTCCCCCAGCACTACTGCATTAAAAGGTGTCATACTAAGTGCCTGGGTAAGAACATTTGGTTGACACGGCATGAGGGACGAGGGGGGCTGGCACTACAAAAATGAGGAATCAAAATATTTGGGGGGCTTTTTTTTTTTTTAGCAGGATCTCACTCTTTAGTTCACACTGATCTCAAACTCGGGACCATCTGTCTGCTTCAGCCTCCCAAGAGTTAACAGCAGCGGCGTGAGCCACCATGCCTGGCTGGAAAGAGTCAAATTTGAAAGAGACTTGGGTTCATTTTCTAATGTCACTCAAATAATTAGAGTCATTACACACCTCTCTACCCATGGAAAAATAAATAAATAAAATAAAATAAAACCCCCAAGCTCTCCTGCAGTTTCTTCCCGGTGTATACTGTTAAAACACACACACATATATGTGCGCACAAACTCATCCAGTGAAAGCAAGCTTAGGAGCTCAGTGATTGCCTGCCAAGGTTTACCCCAGAGTAAATATTTACCGCATAGTTACAAAGTTTCCCTCAAGAAGGCCCAAAATGGAAGCGTTTACACACGTGGCAAATACTTTATGCTTGCCTGGGCCACAAGAAAGAGATAGTTTAATAACAACGTTTATGGATTTTGAAAGCAAACACAATCCAAGAGCCTTTGCACATGTGGGAAAAGCTATTTTAACCTTACATGTTTTCTCCTGAAGATCTTTGGGTTGGGGACAGTGAACAAGGCCCAGTGTCCTCTGGGGCCCAACTAATCCACGCTGTAAACACACACACACACACACACACACCAAATAAAATCAAAATCTGGACAGTGCCTGGGGGCAGAGTGGGAGGGGGGCTTCTCTGTTATTCCAATGCAAACATTCCCAACACAGACAATGGCCACTCCTCACTGAGAAATGGGGCGTGGGGGGGGGTGTCTTGCTTCCTCACCTCTCTCTGCTCCCCTCTTTCTCCTGCTTGCCTGTGCCTTTACCATTCCAGAAAGAACGCCATATAAGTAAAAAATAGCAAGGGATACACGCGTGTGCTTTCCATAGTTTCAGCGCCTCGTTTTTGTTGTCTGACAGTTCCAGTCCAGAGGCCACTAAGTTGTGAGGCCTTGGAGCTAGAAGTTGTATAATCTAGGAATCGAAGTATGCTGCTTAAGATTAGCCCCCTTTTACACAATGCGTTCGTTCTGCCATTTGGACAACTGCTGCTCTTCGTTATGATTTTGTGCCTCCTTCCCCCACGCACCTCAGGCTACATCCATCAGTCTGAACTCTGAGAATCAAATGGAAATGGTAAAAGAAATCACTAGGCCATTTACGGCCTAGAAACATAGAAGCTAGCAAAAGGGATCTGGGCCCAGCCCAACATGGTTTTGGGAGGGAAAGATGTGGCGCCTAGTTGCTCTATCCTTGGTCTGCACCGCCCCCTGGTGGCCTCTTCGGAAGGAATCGGGCAGGTCCGGGCTCAGGTCCCCTAAAGTTCGGTTCGGGTGTTGGGGGATAGAGTTGCTTTCTGCAGCGCTCTGGTGCGGACTGCGGTGCGGGAAGGGAGAGGGAGCAGTGAGGGGGGGAGGAAGATGTAGGTGGAAGGAAGAAAACGGAATTTTTTTAATTATACAGGGTAAAAGGCTCAGGCTTCCCAATCCCAAACAAAAGAACGCTGGAATTAGGTAAAAATAAATCAAAAAGCAAAAGCAGAACTCTCGATTTACAGTCAAGAAACTCAGATCCAAAAACGGGGTGTGACTTGCCAGGGAAATCAACTTGCTGGTGACTAATCTCCCTCACCCCTTCTGGGGTGACAGTGTTGGGGGACCCACAAAGTGGAGAAGAATTTGAGCGTTGGCCAACTAGGGGACTAGCTCCGCAGATAAGTCCCCGATCCCAATCACCAAGTCCAGGG